ATCCCCCAACAGAACAGAGATCCTTCGCTGCTCAAACATAGTAGGCCCGGAGTGCTGGGAGCTGACCTGGACCAGACCCAGGTCTTACCTCAACTGTGCACCCAGACTCACTTCCCGTTTGGTTCGTTAACTTCCTACCCTCTGTGTTACCTCGTTTGTTGTGGGACTTGTGTTCTGCTCTGTGCACAGCCTAAGTTCACAACTTAATCACATGGTGAAATGTCATCGAGTCTGGGATCCTGAACCTGCTTTATAATTATGTTAACCTTGTTTTGACCGAATAACGCTGCCCCTGTGGAAAGACACAACTTATGTGCGCACCTTCATAGCTGCTCATGACATGGTACAACCTGACTTCTTGAAGCTCTAAAGGAGTTTTTTTTTAATGAGTTAAAGCACTAGTGTCTGACATGGCAAATACAGTGTCAACACACACACACACACACACACACACTATAAATTCATCCAAAAATGCCTATTTCTGTTTCCCTAAGAGCAGAAATGAGATTTAGAAACAGCAGGTATGAGAAAAATTAACCAAACAAAAAACCCACCATTTTCTCTCATTTGTAAAGCCCCCCCCCCCCCCCGAACTAAGTGGCTTTTTTGGAGAAAGCCTGGGTTACAGCGGACTTAAGAGTTGGTGTTGGGCCTTTCTTGCCAGAGGTGGGCACGGCATTGACAAAGCGCCAGTTGTTTGGCATCTGGGGTTTGGCTCAGCTGTCTTTTTCTCCTGCTCGCCCACGTGGCAGTCTGTCTGCTTGCTTTCCCAGCACAGGCCAGGGAACCATGGACTTGACCTCCAGCCGTGCGGCCAGCTACTTCCAGGATAGTCAGAGCCTCCACTCAACAGTGACCTAAGGTAGCCTCAGCCTCTAGGGCGGGCCTGCCAGAAATTTGATTCTCTGGAATGATAACCTCCAACGAGGCTTCCTGAGCCTTGATCTGGGCCACCATCTCCTGGCCAGTCACCTCCAGGGCATGCCACTCCTGGGTGTGGACAAAGAGCTGCATGTCCCATGACTGAACCATGGCCACCATAGCCACTACCTCAAAGGAAATTACTTTGCAAAAGGCTGACCCTCTTCTCCCCCCCCCCATGCCTTTCTTTTAACAAGTGCACTTTTTATTTATTTATTTTAAAAGATTTATTTTTTTTTAATTTTTTTTTTTATTTATTTTATGATAGTCACACAGAGAGAGAGAGAGAAAGAGGCAGAGACATAGGCAGAGGGAGAAGCAGGCTCCATGCACCGGGAGCCCGACGTGGGACTCGATCCGGGGTCTCCAGAATCGCGCCCTGGGCCAAAGGCAGGCGCCAAACCGCTGCGCCACCCAGGGATCCCTAGATTTATTTATTTATTTTGAGAGAGAGAGGTGGGGTGGGGGGCAGAGGAAGAGTGACAGAGAGAATCTCAAGCAGCAGACTTCCCTCCCCCCACCCTCTAAGCAGGGAGACTGATGCTTGATCCTACAATCCTATTCATGACTTGAGCTGAAATCAAGAGTTGAATGTTTAACTGAGCCACCTAGACATCCCTCAAGTGCACTTTTTAAATTAAACAGTAAACCTAATTTTTTTTTCCCATTATTTTATTTTTAGGTGGGTGGAGGTAGGGAGAGAGGGCATCTTAAGCAGACTTCAGGCCCAGGGTGGAGCTTGATCTCATGACCCTGAGATGGTGACCAGAGCTGAAATCAAGAGTCAGATGCTTAACTGACTGAGCCATCCAGGTCCTCTGCCCCAATCTAAATAATTTTTAAAACGCGGCTCAGGTACTCTAAAAGCAGAACTCCAAAAATCACAATATGTACAAGAGCAATCATCCACAGTCTCATTAGAGGGAAGAGTATTTTAATAGAAAACACTTTTTTTTTCATCATATTACAAGTTTGGGACTTTTTTATTTTTCAAAAAGAATATTAAAAGTTCTTAAATGCTAAAGAATCATAAATATTTTTTTAAAGATTTTATTTATTTATTCATGAGAGACACACAGAGAGAGAAAGAGGCAGAGACATAGGCAGAGGGAGAAGCAGGCTCCATGCAGGGAAGCCTGATGTGGGACTCGATCCTGGGACTCCAGGGCCACGCCCTGGGCTGAAGGCAGATGCTTAATCGCTGAGCCATCCAGGGATCCCCTGAATCATAAAATATTTTTGTTTTGGTTTACTTATATTTGAACCTTCCATGATACTTAAGGCTCAGTTTGAACCTTCCATGATATATATATGGCTCAGCTCATATTTAGTTAAGCATAACTATTTGAGTTATGAAACAAAAATTTTAACACCTCACTGGAAGAAATAATAGCATGGAAACTAACATATTAACACGTGCTTCAGGGAAATGTTACATTAAAAATGGAAAAGTTGAGGAATGGATACATAACAAAATATTCTTTACCCATTACCAAATTAAAAACTTTTGAGAATATTCTATAACCACCAACTACATAGCAAATAACACAAAACAGTTGATATAAGGTACTTTGAGAACTTGTAAAACCTGAGTTTTGTAATACTCCTAAATATGTAGTAAGGAGACAGCATAGGTAGTTCTTGTGGATTCTTAAGTGTGCAATCACATAACTTCCAGAGGAGGATGAGGACTTTTCTGTCAAGCAGTTGACAGGGACCAGAGCCTCAAGTCATCAACCTCACTACCACTTACCAAGACTCCTTGGAATTCAATTATGATTTTATAGTAGGATGAGAATTTAGATGTAAAAAGAAGCCAGGGCTAGAATCCAGTGTTCTTTCCATGAACATTCTGGCTGGGTGGAAGCCAGGAATGGAAAATGGGATACAGATCTAGAGTTTAGGGGGTGAGGTCATTTATGGAAGTGAGAACAAAGGGAAGAAACAAAACCTGGAACTCAGCAATATGCTAAAATAACGTTCTTACTGGATTAAAATTACTAATTTTTTCCTTTTGCCTCAGGCTCTAACATGGGTCAATTGATCCTGTCTTTATTTAAAAATTTGCTATTGTTCATCATACATTTTTTGGTGTTAATTTTTTTTAATGGTGTTAAAATATTATTTATCTCGTTTAGTGAGGTTTTGAGCACACCCTTAAATTTTTTGTCCGGATATTCTAGTCCTGGCCGGCCCTGTGAAGGAATAAAAATAGTGCCAGAATGGAACCAAAGACCACTGATTGAATTCAGAGTTTGAAAGGAAGTGAGCCAAGAGAGAAAGATCAACATTTCAATTCTTATTTGCTCTACCACTTGCCATTTGCTCCACTTCACTGACTCACCTCATGGCCCCAAACTGGGGCAGCACCATTACTTCTGTTCCCCTTAACCATCTTGATTAAGCTATGTAAAATCTATTTTATTTTGTATTCTGAATATGTTGGAATTTACAAAGAACTTTTAATAGAAATTTTTAAAGAAAAATAACAACACCAAATCATAGTGAAAGTTAAGTTTAAAGTATACATATTGACACTCCTCTGGTCTCCCCCTCCAACTATCAGTGAATAAATTTGGGTCCATTGTCATGAATTTGTTCTGGTATGCCACTTTCAGCATACATGCCACTGATAGCAGAATTTTTATAATTTTTAAGAGAATCTTTGTCCTTATTCCCCTAATCCTGAATTAAGTAAAAAATCTCCAGTGGTAGGGTATGTATCAAGGATGCAGTCTTAAATGCCTCAATTAAAATGAACAAAAAATTGGAAATAAAGACAAGTATCAGAAGCATTTCTACTAGGCTGTGTTCAACACTTTGAACATTTCCTGTACAAAAGGACAACTAGACAGTCAAATGTCTATTGAAAACTTATTGCTGTTGTATGAGCAGAAATCTACAACCATTTAATTACCTTGCAGTGGTATGGCTAGTTTTTAACTTTGTGAATGTGAGTCTGTACTTGAAAAAATTGGCTTCTATTCAATGAGCTGTATCTGAACTATATAAAGTATTGCTTTTCTTTTTTTTTGTACAAAATATATAAACATACATGTTTTAAACATAAATGTAAATGGTAATAGCTTATATTTCTACTGAAATGCACTTATATAAAAGAATTACAATTTATCCAGAAAATTAGAATTTCCCCAAAGTATCCAATTTAAATGAGGTAAAACATTTCATACAGCATCTTTTGTGCTTAAAGTTAATTACAGTGCTTTTATAGAAACTTTCCATCCCAAAAGACATTAATAAACTATGAAAGGAGACAAATTCTGTGATTTCAGAATTTCTATCTCAAATTCTTTATAGTTTACAAATCCCAACTTTTTATTTTATCAAAATAAGGGTTAATGGTTTATGGTTTCTTCCACTCTATAATGTTTACAGTGCAAATTTTCTAATCAAGAAAAGAATTTGTAATTTTCACACCTGGAATTAACTTACAGCAAAATAAAAACTTTATGCTACTGAGCTGTCTTTTAATAAATACAAATTAAGAGTGTATTTAACAACTTAAGACCTAAAAGAACTTCAAAGGAAATCAGACATTGACTTCTTATAATTACATGATGAGAGATATCAGAAATGGACATTTTCGTTAGTATTTCAAACCTTATTTTACAACTTTATAGATATTATTCAAAATAAAAAAACTTTCACAAACATTAAAGCCCACAATATAAAATTGGTAGTAATCAATAGCTTTTTTTTTTTTTTTAAGATTTTATTTATTTATTCATGAGAGACACAGAGAGAGGCAGAGACATAGGCAGAGGGAAAAGCAGGCTCCTGACAGGGAGTTGGACTCGGGACTTGATCCCCAGACCCTGAATTATGCCCTGACCAAAAGCAGACGCTCAACCACGGAACCACCAGGCATCCCTCAATAGCTTCTTTCTTAGTCTTTCCATATAAATAATCAATTATAACCAATTAATGTTTCCCTATTCTGTAAAGCCAAATGGTCAAAGCATTTGATTTCAGCTTTAGCATTTTTGGAAAAAAAAAAACCACTTAAACATACAAATATTTATTTTAATACTTTTGGAGAATTATAAGACGATGAAAGAAAAATTTTAAATTCTTATATTTTTTATTACCGGAGAGTTCTAAGACATTAAAAAGTATTTTTCTTTTTATCCTCTAAGAATAGTAATGTGCAGAAAAAGATTTTTGTTATGCAACCAAATAATTGTGCTTCAGATGAGAATTGCTTTTGAATTTGTTATTTTCCCCTCTGAAGGGAAACGAGGGAGAATCCTGTAAAACCAGTAAACCATCCCAGATGCTTTCAAATGATTCCTTTTTGTACAGGAACTTCTAAGCAATCACACTATGGTGTGGGTGGGTATCTTTCCTTCACTCCTCTTATGGCAGACCAGGTGTGGTTACCTAGAGAAGATCTACATTGGGAAGGCAAAGGAGAAAGAAACATATTATAATAAGAACCAATTTACCCATGCTTAATTTCTTTTTAACAGATAACACGTTATGAAAATTTGCCAAGGTTTTTCAGTGCACTGAAAGCAATTTTATATTTTCTTACCTTTCAATATAGAAACACCTATATTCCTTCAAAAGTCTGAATTTGTTAAAGAGATTTTTTTTCATTAAATTATTTTTCACCCTTTGCTCAGTGATCCACAGTAGCAGTCTCAGCTATTTTTTTCTTAATATTTTGGATTTGATTCCCGATATTTGTACCAGGTAAGACAATTTATTTGGAGGAGGCCAACGAAAACATACCAGAACCAGCATCTTTTTCTCAAGTAGGCTTCATGCGGAACCTGGGGCTTGAACTCACAACCCCGAGACCAAGAGTCACATGCTCTACTGACAACCAGGCACCTCCAGAAGCAATTATCTTAATTTGAGGTATTTTAACAGGTAAAACGGTCCATGGGAAACTTCTGACGTTAAGAAACTACTTAATAATTAGTGCTTAGCGATGTTTTAAATACACGGTAGGGCAACATAAAACTACTTTTTATTTTTTATTTATATTTTTTAATAATAAATTTATTTTTTATTGGTGTTCAATTTACCAACATACAGCATAACACCCAGTGCTTATCCCGTCAAGTGCCCCCCTCAGTGCCCGTCACCCATTCATCCCCACCCCCATAAAACTACTTTTTAAAGAGAAAAATGGTTCTTTTACAGGAAGACAATTCTTGGTGTCAAGGTTTCCCTAGGCAATTTGTTTTGGCCCCCTCCAGAAGACGTGAAGGCATTTTTGGAAGCTTCCACCTCCTTAACATTTCACTTTCCTGACACTCATGGTGAGGTGTCAATCATAACAAATTTAGCAGTGAAAAAAAATGCAAGTATGCCTCTTCTAGTAATCACTTCAGGCTGCCTAAATTTAGAACATAAAAACAAGATGGTCTTTTTGCTCATCAGATTGCAAAGGTTAAAAACATTGTTTACATGCAGTGTTGGCAAAAGCCAGGGGAATACACTTTCTCATAGCTTGCTATTGGAAATATAAGGTGGTGTAGCTTTTCTACAGAGCAATATATTACTAGGTATGCATGTTTAAAATATGCATAATCGAGAGCACCTATCCAGCTCAGGAAGTAGTGTGAGCAACTCCTGATCCCTTGGGGGTTGTAACTTCAAGCCCATGGTGGCCACAGAGCTCACTTAAAAAAAATGTATAACCTGGAGGGTTCTTAAATGATGTTATAAGAAGCTCTGTGACCCTTCTTCCCAGTGAAACCTTAGCTGATGAAAAACATTTTTTTTTAAGTTTATTTATTTATTAGTAATCTGTACACTCAACATGGGGTTCAAACTCACAATGTTGAGATCAGGAGTTACACTTCCAACTGAGCCTGCCAGTGCCGCTAAAGTTTTCTTTAAAAATGTATTTAAAAGGGTTCCTGGATAAGTCAGTTGGTCAATGTTGGACTCTTGATCTCAGCTCAGGTTCTAATCTCAGGTAGAGAGTTCAAGCGCAACATTGGCTCCACGTTGGGAATGGAACCTACTGAAAAAAAAAGTTTTTAAAGTCTTTGGAAATTGAGAGAATAGAGCAAATGGTGAAACACTGATTTAAGTGCTGTAAATGGAATGTTTGTGTGCTCCCCAAATTCACATATTGAAACCTGATTGGCGATGTGATAGTATTTGGAAGTGGGACCTTTGGGAGGTGAGTAAGCCACAAGGGTAGAGCTTTCACGACTGGGATTAGTGCCCTTATAGAGTAGAATCCAAAGAGTTCCTTAGTCCCTTCCACCTTGTGAGAAGATAGACATCTATGAACCAGCCTCCCCAACTGTGAGAAATAAATTTCTGTTCATAAGCTACCTAGTCTGTGGTATACTTTGTTAGAGCACCCTGAACAAATAGAGACACCAGAAAAATCTAATGACAAGAACTGGAAGTGGTAAATAAGAAGGCTAATGCAACAACTCTATAGATACACGTATTTCTTCTTCCTTCTCTCAGACTTAAAGGACCTAAAATTGTAGAAAGTAATAATTTTAACAAAATTGTATGTGTAATGTGGGGCAAACTCACAGCCCCAAGATCATGAGTCACATGCTCTACTGATTGAGCCAGCCAGGTGCCTCAAATAAAAAATCTGAGTAAGCATTTTTACTTGTTTGTAAAACAAACTAACATCATACTAACAATTTAAAAAACTTCCCACAAAGAAAAGCTCTAGGTATTATTTCACTCATATGTGGAATTTAAGAAACAAAACAGATGAACATAGAGGAAGGGAAGGAAAAATTTTAAAAAGGCAAAAACAGGCAGACAACCATAAGAGACTCTTTGCTATGGGAAACAAGACTGCTGGAAGAGAAATGGGTGGGGGAATGGGTAACTGGATGATGGGCAGTAAGAAGGGTACTTGATGTGATGAGTGCTGGGTGTTGTATGCAACTGATGAATCACTGGATTCTTCCTCTGAAACTAATAATACAGAATGTGTTAATTAAATTGAACTTAAATAAAAGATTTTAAAAAAGAAAAAAAAAGCCTTAGTCCAGATAACTTCACTGGTGAGTTTTACCAAATGTTCAGTTTTTCCCCTAAACATTTAATAATTTAATGTCACATACAATTTCAAAAGAATAAAAGACAAAAATGCAGATAATCTTCATAGTTACAGAGAAAAAAAAGGTTAAAATTCAGTACTCCTCTTTCACAATAAAAAACTTTCAACAAATGGGGAATAAAAGGGAGCTTTTTCAACCTGATAAAGCACATTTAAAAAGACCCACAGTTAACATACTTAATGGTGAGAGACTGAATGCTTTCCATCTAAAATCAAATTAAGACAAAGATGACTGTTCTTACCACTTCTATACAACATTGTACAAGAGATTCTAATTAGGGCAATTAGGCAAGGAAGGGAAATAAAAGACATCCAGATTAGAAAGGAAGTAGGGGCGCCTGGCTGGCTCACTCTACAGAGGATGTGACTCTTGATCTTGGAGTTTTGAGTTCAAGTCCCAAATTGGGGGTAGCGATTATTTAAAAATAAAACCTTAAAAAAAAAAAAGTATCTGCTGATGACATGAGTTCATACACAGCAGATCCTAAGGAACCTACTAAAAACTATGAGAATGAATCAATAGTTTCACTAAGTTCACAAGATTTAGGATCAATAAACAAAAATCATATTGTATTTCTATACATTAGCAATGAACAATTCATAACTCAGCCATAATGTGATAAAACTACAAAACTCTTAGAAGAAAATATGGGTGTAAGTTATATTTGTAACCTTGGAGTAGTCAGTGGATTTTTTTTTTTTTTTTTTAAGATTTTATTCATTTACTCATGAGAGACACAGAAGCAGAGGAGAAGCAGACTCCACGCAAGGAGCCCAATGCGGAACTCATCTCAGGACCCCAGGATCATGCCCTGGGCCCAAGGCAGGCACTAAACCGCTGAGCCACCCATGGATCCCCTAGTCAGTGGTTTTAAAACATGAAGCCTAGGGCAGCCCAGTGGCTCAGTGGTTTAGCGCCAACTTGAGCCCAGGGCCTGAACCTGGAGTCCCGGGGTCGAGTCCCACGTCAGGCTCCCTGCATGGAGTCTGCTTTTCCCTCTGCCTGTTCTTTAAGAAAAAACATGAGGCCTAGAGCACAAAAAGCCGAAAGGAAAAACAGACAAATCTGGCTCTAACAAAACTAACAATTTTTTAAAAATATTTTATTTATTTATTCATGAGAGATACAGAGAGAGGCAGAGACACAGGCAGAGGGAGAAGCAGGCTCCATACAAGGAGCCTGACATGAGACTCGATCCCGGGTCTCCAGGATCACGCCCTGGGCTGAAGTCGGTGCTAAACTGCTAAGCCATCCGGGCTGCCCAAAACTAACAGTTTTTATGCTCAAGGATAGACCCTACTAAAGTGAAAAGACAACCCAAAGAATGGGAAAAAAATAATTGCAAATCATAGGGGTGCCTGGGTGGCTCTACCAGTTAAGTATCTGCCTTTGCATTCAGGTCATGATCTCAAGATCCTGGGATAGAGCCTGGCATTGAGCCCTGCATTGAGCCCTGCACTGAGCCCTGCATCGGGCTCCTGCTCCCTGGGGAGCCTGCTTCTCCCTCTCCTTCTGCCTGCTGCCCCCCTGCTTGTGCTCTCTCTCTCAAACAAATAAATAAAATGTTTGAAAAAAATAACTACAAATGATATCTCTGATAAAGGCCTTGTATTCAAAATAGAAAGAATTCTTATAACTCAAAACAAAAAGACAAGCCAATTGAAACATGGGCAAAGATTTTGAAGACATTTCTCCAAAGAAGGTAGACAAATGGCCGAAGTACATAAAAAGCTGTTCAACATCATTAGTCATTAGGAACATGCAAATCAAAATCACAGTGAGATAACAGTAGTCGCTCTTATCCCAATGATGTGTTCCAAGGCCCCAGTGAATATCTGAAACCATGGATAGGGCCAAACCTTATATATACTGTTTTTTTCCTATTCATACATATCTATGATAAAATTTAATTTATAAATTAGGCACAGTGAGAGATTAACAATAACTAATAACAAAATATGGTAATTATAACAAAGTGTAATGAAAGTTATGTGAATGTGGTCTTTCTCTCAAGATACTACACTATACCCATCCTTTCTTGTTGTAATGTGAGATGGTAAAATGTCTATGTAATGAGGGCAGCCCGGGTGGCTCAGTGGTTTAGCGCCGCCTTCAACCTGGGCCTGATCCTGGAGACCCAGGATCAAGTCCTGCGTTGGGCTCCCTGCATGGAGCCTGCTTCTCTCTCTGCCTGTGTCTCTGCCTCTCTCTATGTCTCTCATGAATAAATAAGTAAAATCTTAAAAAAAAAAAAAAAAGTCTACATATGGAGATGAAGTGAGGGGAATGGCATTGTAATGTATTGTGCAACTATTGACCTTCTAAGACAGGTC